TGTCTATGCCTAAACGAAGTAAACGAAGAAGTCAATCCGAAGCAGCAATACCTCGTCGGTGGTCAAATACAAAGATTTCAGACTCAGGGCATTCATCAGATGACGAATATTCCATGGATATTGATGATCAAGAATTAACTTTCAATGAAAAACTTTTGTTAAGCGACATTGGTGATCTTGCTGAAATGTGCAAGTCGAAATGTGACACGAAATATCTTAGTATTTTAATTTATAGGTCATTACATCACTTCCATATAAATACCCAGGTCAGCTGTCATGCCGCATTCGGGAAGCGATATCGCTGTAAACTCCCATCAATCTCGACATGATCGCCATAAAATCACGCTCTCACGACAAGATCTTAAGAAAGTCTTAATTAATTGAGATTTTTTTCTAAGAGTCATGTCGCGATTTAACTATCACGACGTGAACGCTCTGCTTTCGGTGTGTTGCAGCGCGATCGCTATTGAGTCGCGAGACGCGGCGAAATCTTGAGAAATTCTTATCTAGAGAGAAGAGGAACTTTTAAGAGTCTTGATGAGTTCGCGATGTCGCGTCACGCCTCTTGTGATCGCGAATTTCAACAGGCGTACTCAGCTTGGTCGTGCTACGACTCTTGCTGCACCAAGCTTTTCTTCAAAAGATTTGCTTAGTCGCGGCGCTATCGCTAAAATATTTTGTATTCCCATCGCGATCGCGGTGAATTCTTAAAATTGCGCCGTGATCTTGGCCTAATCCTATTTTAAAAAAAATCTTTTTTTAAGATACGCTGATGTTCGCGACGCGAACGCTATAGATTCCTGATCTCGCGGCGGGCCTTGAAAAGTGGATAAATTTTCAAAAAACCAAGTGAGTATTTCTTAGCGCGGTCTCTATATTATCGCGGCACGATTCGCGATATGACGGGTCGCGCCGAGACAATCACAGATATATAAACAGTAGTACTTGCGTAGTGACGTCGTAAGTTGCGGTCTAAGTAGAGGAGCTTTAAAACGTCGCGGCGCGAGTCTTGATTGCTCTGTGTTATACCTTATATTATCTTTCTGAACTTACATAACACACACATACTGAAAAAAAGAAAAGAACAGGCCACGTGTATGTGTGTTGTTGTGCTCATGGTTACATTGTTCTCTTCTTTCATGTTTAACCTATTGTATACACAACGAGTATGTTTTCTTTTAATAGTCATTTCTTTTTTGTTACCGCAGTGTTAAGATCCCTTTATCGTGTGGTCTATTGCAGCCATGCACTGCTTTTTTAAATTTTTTGTTTTAATATATAAGTTTGAAATATTAAATAATATACAACTAAAATTGTAGTAAGTACACAGCAATTTCAGTGTGTGGAAGTAGAAAAAAATAAGCTTTTTCGTTTTTACTACATTTGTTACAAAGTTGAGCCGTTTTTCTCCTAACAGTTCTGAAAGTCAAAAACTGGGTTACCTTTGTCAGAAAATGCACAAAATCTAAGAAATTTACCTATATAGGTCCAATTAGCATGTGAACGGTATTAAAAGATCTCAAAATAATGCACTAAACTGAGAAATGCACCAAATGGTTGATTATCGTGTCTATATGAGTTTCCTCGGTGTAATATTGCTTTGTTGTTGGTAACTTACAGGATGTAGCGAAGATCAGTTCGGTCCTGTATGACGCACAGAGGATAGCGGCATAGTTTCAGAGCACCTCATTCACAGGATGCTACATTAGCTCTCGGCTCTAGCAACGAACTGTTCATAGCGTTAGTATTTCTCGGATACACATCCCCTGAAAGTACAAGCGTGATGTTTCATCACATACAGCAAACGTTTCCTTACGGTAAAACCCATAGACGAGCAATAGGATATCAATCTATCTCACGTGTACTTTGAGATCTAATTTCAGTCTCATGGCAAACCAGAATTGAAAAATACAGGTGGATACCGTTAGATCAACAGTTGATGATAATCTTGAAGCATTCACTTTCCAATTTGATTTTCCAAAATATCTTCTGACATAGCCATACTTCAAAAAAATCATTTAGTTAACAAAAGAAAAAGCGAAAGGACTTCTTCACTTTCCACCAGATATACTGTTTTGAAATAACTGTGTACTTGTCGCGTGCATCATGTTCCGAAGAGTAAGCCGGTAAAACATGGTGCCCTTAAGTGCCAAATTGGATGCTGACAAAGTATCCTTCCTCCTTTGTATTCTTTACGAGAATTTGGTAAAAATATAAGGTAAAAATATATTAAGCAAATTGAATATGTCGCTGAAAACGGTGCAGTAAAAGTTACGGATTGTTATTTAAAACACGGAGAAAACAAAAATAAATCGTAAAATCTAGTAGAATTATGCAAAGAGCTGGCTGTTCAATTAACAGCTAAAGTTAAATTGGAGGAAATTCGTGAAATACTTTCAAGGCATCGAGCGTTTCAGAACATAAGATAAAATCGTTCCATATTTTCAAAGATACATTCCATCTCTTAGTATTTACTTTCATATCTAGGTTACAAAACTTGAAATGTTGGCGTTTAAATATAACATTAAGATTATCTACTGTCCTAAATTTCATTGCGAACTAAATGGTATTGAAGGTCTTTGGTGTAATCGAAAAGCATATGTTCGTTCACGTACCGACCAAACTTTTGATAGAATAATAAGCTTAATGTCTGAATCACGTATACATTTTGTTAAACGAAAAATTTCATTGAAATTATTTCGACGTTTCCGGCGTGCAATAGAAGCCTATTCTCAAGGTCAAACATATGCTGGCGTCTTAAGACTGTTCTTCAGTCAATTTTGTAAAGCAGCAATACAATCACATCGTAGAATCTCAAACAAAAACATAGACGTAGTCTAATGGAAATTTTTCTCCATTTGAACACTTTTAATCTGAGCTGCGTGCATCATTCGTATTATTTATTCAAACTATGGTTTTTCGAGAAAACGTTTTCCAGAGACCCTTTGAAGGTTCTCTAAAGATTTCAAAGTGTGCTCATTTGATTCGTCGTCACTTTTTATCTATGTGACCAAGTTTCCACTTGATTTGAGTAAAGAAGAGTCGTTTTATTTAAAAATGACCTTCCCGTTTTTCTATCACAGCAGTAAAATCACTTTTTCTCGACAACAGAACGAAAAGAAAAAAAAACATACATACTTTTGTGACTGCTGGTATGATGAGTCAAATGAGATAAAATGCGTGCCTTCAACACTTACGTAAAAGACTAGATAGGTTTACAAAAACGACCTATAAGATGATGCTTGGCATGGTTCGAAGCGCCTCCATTAAAATATTTTTGGAGTATTGGAGTAGAGTCAATTTAACAACTTGTTTATATTCCGTTTTTGATGCTGAATCTGGAAAAAATATTTTCAGAAGCTGGAAGAAAGAACAAAGCGGAGAATTTTGCGCATTCTGAAAAAGTTGTGTTCTTTCAAAAAAAACGACTCCCTTCAAGTTTTGTGTATCTTTCGACCTGAAGACAGCATTTGCTAAGGCTGAAAAGCAGTTTTTCGTGATCAGCAGTTCAAACTTTATCAAATGATGTAAAGAAAAGCCGAAAAACACATTTTACTCGAAATTCGCATTGCCTGCACCTTATACAGATCGAAAAAGGGATAAACGTCAGTATAAAAAAATTATCATCTCAAAAGAAACACGATCAACAAAATTTTTCGAACAATTTTTTCGAAAGATAGGTTTTTCGATTTTTGATAGCTTATCAGTATTTTCCATTTTTCTTCATCAAAAGTTTGTTTAAATGAAAAAGATATATTTACATCAGAGAACGAGGACATTACGTCAGAAAATGAGAATTTCTAAAGTTCCTAAATGAGATTTTCTACACTTCCTAACAACAAATGGTTTATTAATACGGAAACTACACGTTGCTTTTGGCGACGAGAGAAGAGTCGCCCAGAAGAGTACACACACACTGAAATGACTTAAGATCTTATATGATAAGCAACCCTATAATTTGATGTATAATTGTCGACAGTTCTATATCAGTTCCCTTTTTGGCTTTTAAAAACAATCAAGACTTAATTTGAAGAATCAGATACGTTCGGTACGATACCATCCGGATGATGATAGGCAGCATCCATAGTCGCCTCTATTTAAGTAAATATAAAATCAAACTAAATCAACAACAAGTGATGAGGGATGATGCGGAAAGCTAAACGACTTTAATAAGAAATCCGCTAGTTATAAAGTTTGTGAATAGAAGTCATCGATTCTTACAAAAGAATTTAACAGAAATCTTATAACGAATTTATAAGAATCTTATTAGATTCTTGGTGAATTCTTACATAAGAAGTCCGCACGAACATAACAAGAATTTGATAAAAAGCAGATAAGGATTAATTTGACAAAACAATGGCAAGGAGCGATAACAAATTTCCAATGTTTTTTTCCTTCTTTAGTTAGCTGTATAGCTCATTAGTGAGTGTGTAAGAGGTCGCGAGATATTCTCAAAACGACCAGTCTTACCTACTTTGTCTTAAGAAGCTTTGAAAAAATTGCCAAGAAATCAGTGATGCTTATATAGTATATGCTTCTGCAAAATAAAACGATATCGGTCTTTTAGTAAGAATTTCATAAGGAGATGATAAGAAAGTGATAAGAGCGTCTTATCAAAGTCATAGTTCATTCGTATTTAAATCTCACCTGATTCTTATCGGATTTGTTCGAAATCCTTGCCATTTTCATGCGGACTTCTTATGTAAGAATCCAATAAAACTCAGATGAGATAATTAAAAATGTTCGTCTAGGGGTAGAGGACATTAACATCAAACGTCTTCTCAGTTCAAAGTCTATCGAAGAACTTCTGTCAGGAAACTTGAAAAATACAGATATTATCACTACTTATAAGTTGACAAATTGTTTCATAGTAAAATATTCAATTATCGCCAAACAGTTTCAGCTTTTAATATAGATTCTTTTCAGAATCTATCTGTGACTCCCAATTGTCAACATTCTGTGATGTGCAACAAAAACATATTATCACTGGTGATAACAGAATGGTGCAATATAAAAAATTGTACGAACTTCTCCGAGAAGGACCACAGTATCGTGAACCTCAACCACGTTATTGGCAACATGCTTTTGAAACTGTAAAAGATGTAGAAACTTATATTGATAAAATTTGTAAAACCGAAAAACTAGCGCAGATCTTTTCTCGTGAATGGAAAGCTGAATTATTACAGTTAGTTACAGATCGTATCAAATAATCAACGAAATAATGGACGAATTATTGAGCATAAAGCTTATATAAAAGCCATTAAAAATAAGGCACGACCTCAATCAACCATCTCAGATTTCTTACCAAGTAGAGGAGGGGACTTCTTTAGAGCAAACATTTCCCTTAAATTCTGCCGAAAATCGGAGGTCCCAAAGGTGTTGCGTTGCTGATATATGCAATTTTTGGTTTATAAGCCAAAATTAAAATAATAATATATTATAGATGAATTGAAAGTTTTGCATTAGAAATATATACTTGTACCGATTGATAAACCCAACCAGTTGTTCGAGGGGTACCTCGAGTGCTCGAAAATATACTTTCGATAGGCCTTCGCCGAGGTTCGAATCCTCGGAAAATGACACTTCAGACTCTCGATATAAGCTTTCGAGGGGTATCGATTTCGAGTTCTCAGATTTCAGATAGGTAGCGAGCCCTTCAGAAATATTTCGAGCCGTCGAGATGTACTGGACTCCCGAGCCCTCCTCGCACCCTCGGAGGAGCGAGAGCTCGGAAGTCCCGAATATCTCTGTTTCGATGGCGCGAAATTTTTCTCGAGGACTCGCTATCTGTCTAAAATCCGAAGGCTTGAAATCGATACCCCCGAAAGGTTATATCGAGGACCCGCAGTGTCATTTTTCGAGGGTTCGCACCCTCCAAGAGGGCCTGTTTTCGAGTACTCGAACGACTTTTTTCATCTCCTTTTATATGAAATAAACACAATAAGCTTATAATATGAAATAAACACCATTTATTTATCTGATCGCAAAATTACGTAAAAATTCAACTAAACAACGCTTTATAATCTTATCATTCTATTGTTGCACAAAAAATTTGCTAAACGGCTCACAGTGGGCACTCAGGCGGAAATTTGAGCAAAAATCGACAAGTGAGCTTTTTTGAATTCGAACAGTAGTAAATGTATAGTAAATGTAGTCCTTGAAAAGCGCTATCGAATGGTATATAATGATCGACTAGTAATGAACTCCTTCGATGAGTAAGTTAACTTACAAACATTCACAAAAAACACCGTCAAATATGACACATCTGCAAAGATTCTTATTTCTATGTACAGACGTGCAATAGTATCCTATCTAAAGCACATATTCGGAATCAGCACCACCTATTGTATCTCCTGATAATAGAAGGTACTCCTTTTGCATCTTATACGAAACGAAAAAAGATCTAGTAGTCTAGATTACTACGATCAACCTCAGCGCAGTGACAGCGCTAAGCCTGAACAGACCTTCTAATTACATGAAAATGTTCCTCAGCCTATCGTGTATTTATGATGATCTCGTCTTTTCTCGTCTTTTTTCAAAGTCGAGTTATTGATTATACAAAAACCCACAGGATTTTCGAGGTAATTCGCATTTTCTCCCCCCATAAGAGCACTTTTTCCATAACATAAAGTCATATTCGGAATCACCGTGCAAAACTGCATCGAATGATATATAGCATTTTAATTTTTCTGCGAAAATATTTTCGGCCAAACCGAATTATACAGCTGAAAGCCTGTCCGCAGCAAATTTTGCTTAGGAATTTGGATACTTATTTTAGCAATAGTACACAAGTCTATAAACACATTTTTTATACGTTTTGGAATACTACCTCTCCAATGGTGAGATTTTCGAGATGTAAAAATATTTTTTATGGGTTTTCCAGAGATACGGTCTCCAGAAAACCTCCAAGGAATTACTTTTGAGTTCTGAAAATCACATCATCAGAAAGAGCATATTCGAAAACCTATAGAAAAACGTGTTTATAGGCTTTCATACCACTTCTACAGCATATGTCTGCCTGCTCTATAGAAAAATGCCCACTGTGCGGCTCCGTTTAGTGTATGAACAACAAATTAAATATTGTAACAATCTACACAGCAGAAAAAAATAAATCGATTTTGCATCATTGAAAGCTATGCTCATGTATTAAAAAGAATTAAAGTAATTAATACGAAAAGATCGGTTAGAAATATTGAAACCTACGATTGCTCAACATTGTATACAAATGTACTGCAAAATCTGCTAATTGAAAGTATGAAATGGATAGCTAAAAAAAGTATCTTGTCAAATAACACAGTGATGCAAACCGATGGGTAGTTCGCTATCCTATTCGTCACCTTCCAAAGTAACATGGATATTCAAAACAACAATAAACACAAATATTATACAATAGTTAGTAGAGAAACATTCGGGCAAATGGTTGAATTATAGTCGATAATAATTATTTCACTCTAGAAAAGATTGTTGATAAATAAACCATTGGAATACCATGACACGACATTTTCGCGAACAGAACTCCGACTCTTCCACGAATTTTTCATAGTACACATTTGGATATTTCTCGCCGTGTGTTGTGAGAGATGGGGGTGTGGATAGTGTGGGAGTGAGTTCGAAAAATAGTTTCACACGAAACATATTTTCATGATGCGAAACTGTATATCTGTAACTGTATCACATAATGACTATGCATCCCTCTAGAAAGAGCGTATATGAAAACCTACAAAAAGAGTGGTTAGAGGTTTTCTTATCACTTTCCTAGTACATGTCCAAGTGTCAAGTCAAAATTGGTGTGTCCGTACGTCAAAATCGTCACATTATACTGGATCGAAGCATTTTTTTGTTCAGAAATACTTCATATGCACATCATTAGATGCAGTTTTATGCGTTGATTTTAAATATATAAATACTTCTGTGTAAAATGCTCCTGGGCGGGGAAAAATGGATCTACTTCAAAAACCAAGGGTTTCTTGGAAATCCTATGACTCAGTTACCCATCGTTTGGAGTATTTGGGGCTAACACCATATATCTATTATTAGGAGATGAACGTGTTGTAAAAAAATATCTGCTTGTGACGAGTCGTGAGCTGTGCACGAAAAACGTTTTTATCACATTTTTCAAACGTGGTCAATAGTGAAAAGATATGTGACCACGCATGAAAAAGTTATTCGCCTGCAATCAAACGTGAATAATTCACGAGAACATATATGTGACATTTCTGCCGCGTGACCGCTAATGAAACTCGAGAAGTGTGTAGTGACCGTGCGTGGATTTTTTGCGTTAATATTTCAGTAAAAGATTCACTTGTGAACACGCATCAGAATGTCCAAAACGAATTTTATTATAAAAGGCACTTCGTATTAATCTATGTGTAATTTTTTGTGTGTACAGAAAAGAACTCTATGAAAAAATTACACATAGATTAATGTGAAGTGCTACCTTTTATAATAAAATTTCGTCTAGACATTCTGATGCGTGTTCCCAAACTTTTTTACTGTAGACCGAATATATTTTCTGTAGGACTATGCCTGGGAATCATCTTGTTCCCCTGGAGGAAGTATTAACTAAAAACAGTTTCGAAACTAGGAAAAAAGGTTTAGGAAGTTTCACGAGTAACTATGCATGGGAATTTTTTTATACGTGATAACTCGTAAGGCCTGATCCGACAAGTATCAATGAGATTTATTCATTAGTTCCTTAGGCAAGTTAGCTCAATAGTAGTATCGTAGATTTCTAATTCAAAGTACCCTGGTTCGACTCTTACTTTGTGGTCATATATAGAAAATATGCTATTTTAGAAACTAGTGATCACACGTGGAAAAAGTTACAGATGAAGTGGCATTGATGAAGATTGCGTTATACCTTGACCATAGTCACCATGGTCAACATTTTTTCACACGTAATCACGCGTGGAGGGATTCACATGTGTACAGAAGTGAACAATCCCCACTTCTGAACACGCGTTTGATGTTGCAAGCGCATGATCTCGAAGTCGTGAAACTTGTTGTCTTTACCTGCCAAATTTTGTGAAATTCCAAGGGGAAGTTCACGGGCCGTCACATGTGAAAATATTGACAAAATTTCCCCATGAGTGATGTATCTAAAAATCTCCATTTCTGTTTCTCTTCACGCCTCCTTTCCATTTCATTTTTCTCTTTTGTTTATTGTTACTGCTCAATGATTATACTTTGTTTGCGAACAACTTTAAAACACTAATAAATGTAAATAATTAGTGATTCTTCAAACTTATCCGTAAGTTCACATGTGTACAGAAGTGAACAATCCCCACTTCTGAACACGCGTTTGATGTTGCAACATTTTTGAGAAAAACCAATAAGACAAATTGTAGATTTTGACAAGTTACACGAACACTTTTATTAATGTTTTGTTTTTCAACAATTTGGTAATTCACTTAGCGATTCACTTAAGTTTTTCAAAGTTTCATTCCTTACGTTTGCCGGACATTTTCAGCTCTCTAACCTGTTCACAACCGCACGTTAATTAGAATTGTTACGATATGTTACGTAGAATTCTTGCGAAACTTTTTTACTGTAGACTGAATATATTTTCTTACAATACTTTGGATAGCTCTACAAATGCTTCCAGTGAGGTTCCTGTATGAGTAGATAGAAGGGTAGTGCGTGCTACAGACAATTTGATAGTCAAATAAATAGCGCTTTTCTGAAAAGAGCTATCCAACTCACACATACTGTTCCAGACATAAGTACATACATCTAGAGGTATATTTTAAAATTTGATTACTGCGTCCGATTTGATTACTTTCTGCCACACTCCCACTTACAACTTGTTCCCATTGATAAAGTCATTGAGCTGAAAATATCAGTTAATTTATACAATAGTTTTATTGAACCAAAGAAAAGTATATAGTACAATATTATGACAAATAAGAGCTGTTTTATTTCAATGCCAAATGAGCATAACAAAACGTTTGATATGTTTGACTAAACGAACATGGACCAGCCTACAATGACAATAGGAAAAAATGATTATACGTATTTTTGCATAGAGGAAGTCTGTTAAAAATATTAGCTACAATTATACACAATAATCTTAACACCCACAGCATATCAAAGTAAACAGCGAAAAAATCTTCTCCAGTACACTTACCGTTACTTCATCTCATATAACCCGATCTTCAAGTTTATTTACTTCATTATTAATCGCGGTATTGACTCCCGTGTCCAATGCTCT